TTCATTTAAAAATGTTTTGAACATCTCTACCAGGGGTGGCAATAAATGAGACCAACAGTGTAGAAGTAAGTACTTAACAACAAAAATAAACATAAGGAGTTATGTTTTGCGATGCATTTGTGGAATACAGATATCATATTAGTCTAAAAACAAGGTAAGATATGTCTGTGGTGTTTTACTTCTTTAATCCTGAATTTACCAGGGAAAATTAGAGGCTTTCAATAAATGAAATCCACATCAAACATTTACATAAGGCTTGGAGCAGGAGACCATGACTCTGGCTGGCATGCTTATATCAAAATGAAATCTCTGTTCACCCTAAAACTGGCTAATAACTGTGTCAGTTTAGTGTTTCATTACTGAATGAAAATCTGTTATGGGATCTAAAGCCTTCACGGGCGGATGTCGAGATTACGCCAGCTTCTGAATCTTGGCACGTACTGCTGCCAAGCCTCTCCACCGCTTGGTTTTAGTTAAGATTTTATATACAAAAACTGTTCAAACATGAAATTCTTTTTCTCTTCTGGCATTTCAGGGTTCTTTGTTATTTGCCAAAACAGGGCTGACCTCTTTAAAGAGGTTCACTGTCTGCTTTTATGAGAACATTAATGAATAAGAAAGGAGAAAAATGCTGCAATCACACGCTCCTCTGGCTCGATTCCTTTCGAAGGGTGAAGAAATACTACTTCATATGGTTTTCTCTGTTTTCTACTTGCCACCTTAAGCTAAAGTGTCCCCCTTGCATGTGTTTTTTTTCTAGTGACAAACAAAAACATGTCCATAGACAAACGTGAGCTTACTGAGAATCTTGTGGACATTCATCTCCCATGAGCAGTCTCTCTCTGGAGGGCCAGAACTAATTGTGTGGAATTCCTGACGGAGGTGGTGGATGCATACTTTGACAAAGTGGGAGGTGCATATATACTTCATCTTCCTGCACTGACAATTCCTCGCTACTCCTCAAGTCAGCATCTTTGAGGAAAAGCGTTGTAAACAGAGTCACCTGGGAGAGGGAGCGAGCTTCACTGGAAGAGAAGGACTTCATCTTGCCCTTGAAACTTTGTTGAGTGGCAGAGTTGTTCAGCAACCGCAGACAGCTCCTCCCTTCTCTTTATGTCATCATATCCCATGTGCTGGCATAGACACACCAAGTGCACCCCTCTATACTGCATCACAGTGATTAGTGCTATGATTAAATACTGCTGTGTAAGTTGTTTGTTAGCGCTGATTAGGGCTCATGCAGTGCATCCAGAAGGGTTCTCTAGCCTCTGGATTGCATGTCAGACATTTTACTGCCGTACAGTTTAAGTAGGTGTTTAAATAGCCATCAATCTCTGCTGAATCTGTTCACACCAGCTACCACTTACAAACCAAAATTGTTTGACGAATCCTGAAGCTAGATATAAGTGGGATCAAAAAACCGCTGGGCGTCTTTTATGAGATGGCAGTGCAAGCATTACACCAAGCTGAGGCTCCTATCTCCCACTATGAAGTGCAAATGAGTCTATAATTAGATTCCACACGTGAGATGCTCAACAGCCTACAGGGTTTCAAATCAATGGCCTAAAATACAGCAAATAAAACAACACACAGGTTTACAAGAACATTAGACATTAAGGTAGAAAAATTTATAATATCCAAAATGTGTTAATTATATAATGCACTTTACATTTTAAACCTGCAAAGTGATACTGGAATGAAGAGGCGGGTAAAGGAAATAAAACAAAAAAAAACTTTCTTTGTATGCTATTGAGGGGATTTGGGGGGATTATACTGACAAAGAGACGTCAAAGATTGAGAGGAAAATGGAAAATGGTGAATAGCTTCCAGCAGTTTTTACAAATGAAAAATAAAAATGCAAAATGTAAAAAAGTAAAACCGCAATTCACTACTGTTACTGCGACAAATTTTTCTGACCTTGTCTGTTGCAGCTCTAGTCATCCGGAAAACAAAGCCTTCACCCATCAAACAAAAGCAAATTACACTTTTACTTCTTTTTTGTTTTGCTTTTTAGGATTTAAAACAATAGCTATTATTTTCCTTTCCCTATATTTTGTTGCTCTGTTGCTATCCCTGTAAAACACGCAGACTGTTTTTAGTTCTAATGTGATAAAAAGCTTAATACTAATAAATTGTTTACAAGGTATTCTTTATATCCTAACAGTAGATCCAGCTTTGTAGCTGTCTGCAGCGCAGCTATGGCCGACTTATTCATGTTACACAGTCACTGTCTTTTAATAAGGAAGAATAGACTTGAATTTTATGCATCCAATAAAAAGAAAATCTACATTGATGACTCTAATATACTTTTATTGGTATAAAAAGAGGAGTTAACTCAGCCAAACTACAAAAACATCTCCCTCTCTCCTTTCTATTATGCTTATTTAATGTGTTCAACAGTCAAACCTCCCAGAGGAGACTTTGTATTCTCTGATGTGCTGTTCTTCTATAATGTCTTCTTTTTCCTCTGTGCCCCACTTCCTGAGACCACTAAGAGCAGCACTCTGCATATTGAGCCCATCTAAAATATGGGATGTATACTGCTGTGGACAACCCTTCCGTAAAGTGCTGGGTGCCAGCCAGGACCCTTATGTACCTTTCATAAGATGCCAGGTCTGCACTGCAGCTTGGTCCCTGTCCAAATAACACTGCCGTGTGCAAATGGCCCTCGCTGCTGGACCCTGGCATCAACTAGGATTCCTAAAAGCCCCAGTTAGAGTACATAATGGAGGAGAATAGATCATTTGTTTCGATAATAAAAGAACTGGCTGCTCAGGGCGTGTTTTTCACTCTTGGATGCTTCGATAATGTGAAAATCCTGTATGACCCAGTTGCCCCGCTAGTCTATATTTGTACTCTCAGTGGAGCACAGTGTGTGAATTTAAAGAGTTTTTCTTTTTTTTGTCAGACAATGACTGGAAGGTTGGGTATGTTCCAAAATTAGCACAGAGTGTTGCTGCACCAATTTGTTAAATTTTCAGAAGCTGTTTTATGTTTAATGCTTAAAACTTTAGAGTACTAAAATGACGCTTTTAAATAACTAGTTCTATCAAAATGGAATCAAACAGATCAAGCACATTTATTTCTCATTGGATAGCCATTGAAGCACCTTAGAAATTCCTGACTTTTTAAAGCCACCTTTCAGGCAGTTTGATAAAAAGTTGAATGTGGTATTGCTTCAAAGCGGCTTATGTGTCCATAATGATGCTTGAAAGCTCATTCTACCTCTGCAATCTCTGAGAACCACTCAGAACAAGGTAGAGTGAAGCACGGCTTGTGTCACACGCTGAAGAATGTATATTTTCTCACTTCATCGTAAATTCTTGTAATTAATTGTTTAACAGAGGTTATCAGGGTGTCTCCAGGCAAAAACGATAGTTAAGAGGCAGTTTGTGTTGCAGTGTGAACTGGAGGTGTATTTAAATAAATACATTCACCTGTTGTCAGGTTTAAATGCGTCACATTCTCTATTGACGTGATTTTCCTGTGTGCATTATACATCTATGAAATATTGTACCTCCATCCTGCCTGACCCCTCATTCACCCACGTCTGCCTGATAACCATCATCACATAAAAGCAGGATCTCAACGCAATTCCTTCTATAACACCCACAAGAATAAACAGCATGTCTTTAAAACGGCAGCATGTAAAACCACCTCACAGCAGCTTCACAAGATGTTTTCAATTGTATGAACAGGTAATGAAGTCAGACTAGAAACTCAGGGGCACAAATTATAACTACTGCAGTAATTAGTTCATAAATCAAGGATGTAAGTAAAGTAACAAATAAAAAAAATTACGAGTTACATATTTTTATTTTTTTGATTTTGATTAATATAGTAATTTTTGAACTGAATTAAAAATAGGGACACCTTTAATATAGGTAGTGGACACAGTGATTTAATACTCAAATTGTAAAAATTACTGAGCTGTTTCAGATTTTAGTACGTTTGGCTAAAAAGGGTCATGAGGAAAAGTGAAAAGAAAATCCTAGCTGCTTGAACTCAGTGATGAGGTTCCCATTCCATTTTTTGGGTTGAGGTGCCAAGTCATCATCAGATAATGGCCCGTTTTATAAATGATGTTACTGCAGCAACCTACCCTGACACTTCAAACTTAGAAATGATCACATTTTACAGGATTTGTCTCCAACCTACTCAACCAAGAATTAAGTGCACTTATCATAGTATCAGTCTATTTAATTTGACCATTCACCTAGCCTAAATCCCTCCCATAAATCCATAATTTTAAAGAGGAACTGAAGATAGTCCAAAGAAATACAGATAAGTTTAAAAGTCTTGACTGCTTCCATACCACAAAGCAGGGATTAGGCAATGAATACTATGGAATTTTGTGTATGTATGTATATAGAAATTGTGAATATTAGTATTTAAGTTTTTAGAAATCATTTTTTTAGCATATCAGATGCCATAAGAAACCCAAGGGGGAAACTTTTAAAAAAGGCCAAGAGACAATTTTGTATGATTTTTGTTTTTAGGCATTACTCCAGTGCACCAATTTAGACAAAACATGTAGCTTTAATGCTTTGTCCTTTGATAATCTTAGCTAAAATCACAGGGTTAATTGAATCCTACAGAGTTCAACGTCAAGCTGAGCTACAGTGAGGAAGGCAACACCTTAGAGAAAGGTTCTCAGAACACATTTAAAGACAGGCACCTAATCTCCTAATCTACCTCTTTTGAAACTACCTCCTATATTATTAGCTTTACCAAATGTTTAGACATTACACTTAAATATATAATCTTCAAGGCATCGGGGACACCCAAAATAAAATTAACTTCTGTATTAAAATGCAATTTTCTGTTCAAACATCATTCAAAAAATTACTGTCTACATCAGTAATAGATGACAGCTAGTTGTACAACAGCTTAAAATACCCTCATCCCCACACAATACTGGATTACACCCTTTCAGATTTATAAATACTTTCTAAATACTATATCCATGCTGTATTATAAGTAGAAAAAAAACAGACACATTCATATTTAATGGACCTTTATTTACAAACAAAGTTAAGCGATTCCCATTTTTCTTGAACACAGATGGATAAATATGTTCCAGCTGACAACCTGTTGGGAAAGAGAGAAAACAGAACACAAAATGATAAGATGCCTTGCATACATCTGATGTAAGAAAAGCAATTTCTTAGTAAACACCAAAGCAGATAAATGTGACAACACCTCAAAAACGATTCCACCTGATACACATCGACGTTTATAATAAACTGTCAAATTAATCTGCCAGAGTGGGAGCTGATCTATACAATACGACCCCCACTTGACATCTGTTACTGTTGCGCTGGTGGAAAAGGGTAATATATTTTAAAAAATGCCATAAAGGGAGAGGCTAAAAAGGTGCAGGGAAAGGCTGATTTCTTGTGCACTCTTCACCAACCAATGTTGCAGCAAAAGCCACATCATCCTGACATTTTAATAAAAGCAGATATGTTAGATCAAAATGGCAGACATAATTACCTGGGAGGCTCGGTAGCAACACTGGGCCATTTCACTTCTTCAGGATCTGATGTCTGACGACGATGAAGGGGAATGCAAATCCGCTGCCAAAGAACAGCACCATCATGCCCAACAGACGCCACTTGTTCTCCACAGAGAAGGGCAGGTTCTGTTAGACAAAGAATAAAAAAAAGACAACTTTAATTATAGTTCTTAGTTGTAATTAGCTCTTATTGGATTTAGAAACCCCAATTGCAAGTGTGTTTAAACTACCTACAAAAAAAAAAAAGATTTTATAAATATGGTTTAGCATTAGACAGCTTAATCTTAATGAAACTAAAGAGTCAAGTGTATTTGAAACAACATATTCTAAAAATACTGTTTGTGAACCCATATATGCATATATACATTCAAATCTGGCCACAATGATCACGCTGAAATGTTGTGTAATGATTTGTTTGTATCCAAGACCAAACTGATGAAGAATCTAAGAGAAAAAAAATTTAAACTAAGTGTGTGAGAAAATAATTGTATCGACATCCCTATAAAAAAAATGCACCTGCTGGCAATTTAAAACGTCAAAAGGCATCTACAAGCTGGTTACTCTTAACAATTACGCATTGTCTTTTAAAGGAGAAGTTCGGTTTTTTACACTTTAAGCCCATTTTCTGTAGTGTCCAGGATGAAATCGAATGAAGGACACCAAAATTTTGACAATTGGTCCTGTCTCTGCTTTTTGGCTCATTTAGAATCAACCCCTGGCTGCTTTAGAATGGCTAGCATAGAGCATGTCCGATAATGTCCTTAAAACAACCTTAAACGTTCTTTTTTTAAAATATGCTACTCACCGTGTCGTCAGCGCTGTTCAATGACGTTCCAAAAAAAAGTTTCGAGAAGAAAAAACGTTCCTGTAGTGTTTTATTTAGCATTTTGTAAATCCCATTGAGTTCTGTAGGAATAGTCAATATTCCGCTGCCACCGGAAACGGAAATGGGGCCTGTTTACACAGTTGTAGTCTTTTCGCTTCACTCTGTGTACTCCGACGTCGAGAATCAAGAATCCACCTTTCGTATTCCATTTTCAGAGTTTTTTAAAGTGTTTAACAGAGACGTTAGCACCTCGACGTCGGAGTACACAGAGTGAAGCGAAAAGACTACAACTGTGTAAACAGGCCCCATTTCCGTTTCCGGTGGCAGCGGAATATTGACTATTCCTACAGAACTCAATGGGATTTACAAAATGCTAAATAAAACACCACAGGAAAGTTTTTTCTTCACGAAACTTTTTTTGGAACGTCATTGAACAGCGCTGACGACACGGTGAGTAGCATATTTTAAAAAAAGAACGTTTAAGGTTGTTTTAAGGACATTATCGGACATGCTCTATGCTAGCCATTCTAAAGCAGCCAGGGGTTGATTCTAAATGAGCCAAAAAGCAGAGACAGGAGCAACTGTCAAAATTTTGGTGTCCTTCATTCGATTTCATCCTGGACACTACAGAAAATGGGCTTAAAGTGTAAAAAACCGAACTTCTCCTTTAAACTAATCGACATCTGTTCTCATTAACAAGTGGTTCATTCAATCTCCCTTTGGGATCAATAAGTTGTTTTTGACTGAATTTCTCAACTAAAGAGCCTCAAAGAAAATCCGTTTATGCAAAACTGAAATATGGCAGGTCCCAGCTATAACAGTTTTAATACACAACTAGTATGTGTAGAATGAAATTATATATATATACATACATACATACATACATACATACAAACACACACATACACACACACACAGAAAAACATTTCTTGCACCAATAACTTTTTATTGCAACTTATTTTCAAAACATAATTTGACCAAATAGCTAGTAACTATTTAATTTCATTACATGTTATTTTTAAACAATATTTCTATCCATGAAGCATGCGGACTTTGACAAAATAATTTCGCTGCGGAGATCAATAAAGTTATGTTGATCTTGATTGACCTTACAGGTAGCAGCGGTTTACCGGAAGTTAAATGAAAAACCAATTTACTATTTTCAGGATTTAGATACTGAACTCAAGAAAAGACTTAACTGGAGATGATGTTTGTCTAAATGCAATCACAAAACCGAACTAACACAAAAGTTAAGAGGGTTATTTAAAAAAAAAAATAGCGTGTTAGCTGTTAGCCTAGCGGCGCTAACCCGCTAATACATGTAAAACATAATTTTTTAATGGAAAATCGTTGTCATAAGTCAATGTTTGAATTATGAACCAGTAAAGCAATGGTAACGTTGAACAAAAAATGTTATAAGTAATTTCTTTACGGTGTAAACGTAATGCTCTTGTACATTGAACATGACCTCTATGTTAGCACTAGCTTAGCTAATGCCGGGCTTCAGACACAGACAGGGCCTTATATTAAACTGACGTGTTTGAAACGAAGCTATTTCTTTCGGGAAACTCACCTTCCCTGGTCCTTCGGCATAGTGTGAGGAACGAACAGCAGATGTGGCAAATCGCCTTACAGCTTGTCCCAGCATTTTGTTGTGTGGTTTACTCCGTGTACAGTGCTGCTACTGCTGCTGTTAAAAGCGACCTTAGTCTGTCCAATGCAAAGGACTTCCGGTGGGTGTGGTGACGTGTGGGAAATGTAGTCCCAAAACGTCTGCATAACGTTTCTTAGTTTTGTAGTCTTAAATACCATGTCAAGCTGACCTAAACTTATATCCATTCATTGTTTATTAATCGTTCATTATTTTGCAAAAAGGTGTAAAATCCTTACTAATATTTTTCCATAAAAAAGACCTTTCCTGATGTTAAGAGTTTTATTTTACTCTTCAAATCCTTAAGTCACTTTGATCATGCATGGAATATGTAATGCTTGTTTAGAAATATATATTTCATGAATAAAATGTAATTTATACTAATTATTTTAAAAAGTGAATAAATAAGAATAGTCAATTATAACAGTTACATCATTGATACCATGAATCGCAACAATAATAATTTACAACCTTTTCTGGAAAGGAGTTAGATTACCTAAACTGTGAAGGTGAGTGGGTTTAGTATGCATTCATCAATTTTTAATTGTATAAATCTCCAGTAAGAACAGTAAACATTCAGTCTGTTCCTCTGCTTGAAGGTGAACTTAAAAATATAAGAAAAACATACTTTTTGGTTGATTAAAGCTTGTTTAATTTTTGAATTGATCCTCATAAAACAAAATAGATCCCAGCCCTATTTTATTTTACTACCTAAGAAATTAAATATTTTTATGTACCCCCTGCATTGCACTCGCGGACCAGTAGGGGTATGCGTAGGGCTGGGCGATATGGCTAAAATAATAAAATCTTGATTTTTTTTAGTCAGCTTGGACGATCAGGATTTTAGGTCATTTTATTTGAAGTATTAAAAACTACATGCATGCATTTTAAAATAGGTTTACTTTATTCAAAAATATATTGTCCAAAGTGACAAATATTTAGTCAACAATAAATGTATTGTTCAAAAAAAAGTAAACTTAGATATTCATAATATTAATCTTGTGCAAGTAACACAAATGTTCACCCAACAATAATTTGGGTGATTTGTTTTCAGGAAAAAATATACACCAATATATTCAGTACAAGTGCAAGAAAAAAAGAGCTTCATTTGCTGAAATATGCAATTTATTGAACAGTAAATAATTTGTATTGATCTTCTGGGATGTAGGTGGTTTGTGAATAGTAGCTGTTGAGAGCCCAGTTCACGTCGATATAATGCACAATTTAACTCATGTACAGTTGAAGAGATCAGCTGGACCAAAGGACTATAGTAGTTGCAAAAAAATAAAGCAGTGTCAAAGTTTTCACAGAGCGCTTGTAGTGTTTCGTTGTACAGTTTTGGTAGCACAACCTCTGCAAAGTATTTGCGCCTCGGCTGGTCATATTTTGGATCACACACTTTTAGCATGTGAAGGAAACCAGGCTTCTCTACGGTGTAAATGCGCACTATGTCCACCCCAACAGCTACAGTATCGGTCATCTGCTTCCACCGCAAACTTCACTTGTCAGTTAGCACCGCTTTAGAAATTTAGGCTGCCGGGGTTTGGGGTCTTTTCTTGTCGTGGCCATGTTTGTCTTTGTCCGTGCTACCGACGCTGCACTCCCAAAGCTGCAAGTGCTGCTCCCATTCTGTGGAGTGCCTTGGCCAGAGATGCTGAAACAACTGAGTTGCACACTACTGTGGTCTGCTCCACATCGGCCTTGTCAAAGCCAAATTACTTCCAAATATTCGACGAAAGAGGAGTCCCTTTTCTCAGTACCAACTCTTCAGATTGAGCAGCAGCCATGGCACAAGTAAACATTGCAGCATGCTATCAGGCAGTGGAAAGAAAGAGGTGGCAGAAGCAAACACCCAAGTAGAAAATGCAGGAGAAGAGACTTCCTTGATTTTACGATTTAAAACATGAATTTATCGAATTAATTCAATTTATCACCCAGCCCTAGGTACGGGTGCCCCCGATTGGGAATCACTGGTTTAAGGGGCCATAGAAGTAAAACAACACAGAACAAATCCATGACATTTTTCTTTTAAAAGGTTTTTAATTATCAAACAATTGTTGATGCAATTTGAGAGATAGAAACATAAGTGATTCAAACCTTTTTATCATTATTATGATAATGCTTAGATTTTGGATGAACTTAGAGGAATTGTTTAGCATTTATTGAAACAATAAATGTATTGCCTCAATAAAATAAGTGAAAGCAAATGTCCTGGAAAATGAGCCCATTAACCAAAAAGATGTGCAGTTGCTGTATTGTGTAAGTTTAATGCATGACATGTCTCTGTGTAAAGAACATATTATGTCAGTGTAGTCAGCTCCTTGCTTGTTTTAAAGGTCCAACATATTATCTCCTGTGATGCTGGCAGCTGCATCGGGATGGTTACCCATCGTCTCATCCATCAGTACAAGGTCATCACCTGGCCTGCTGCCACTTGTTTGCCCTCACATTGCCACTGCAATCTGTTTAAAAAGCATTGAGGGATGGGAATCATCCTGTAGCCAGATGACAAACAATATAATCAGACCCCGACTATAAATATTGATGTTATCACATGCTCACCATAAAAAGCAGCTGGAACTTTACTTAATCAGGTTCATCCATTCTGGGAGCTAGTTTCTTGTTATCATTGACTGCCTTATTGTCATGTTACTGACCTCAGCTGATGGTAAATGTTTATCAATGATAAATTCTTTAGAATAGAAGCTTGAGATTCTCACTAAAACAAATATAAGAATAAATATACTTTGCACACATATTTTTAAAACAACTCCCACTCTCATTAAAGCCATTTAATTAGCAATCAGCGCCACTGAGATCTATATGAGATCAAACAAATCAGCCATGCATGTACCCTGCTATATATAGTAGGGTATGTGCTAGTTAATACATGCATAAAGCTCAGACTGTCTTTACTTCAATTTACAGATTGATAAAAAAAAAACAAGGATCGGAATATCTTAATTCAGTCTTTTCTTGTCAGTAAATCCAGTTTTCCCCCCAAAAAAATACCATACAAAATATTTCATAAGTCATAGCATTAAACCTCGAGGTGTGTTCACTAGAAGTTTATGTGCCAGATCAATACAAGATGACTGTGAATTGGAAGGTAAGTAACACATAGTTTCAATCTTAGGATTTTTCTCCTGCAACCCCCAATTGCCACTGCAAACCCAGCAGTAAATAATATAATCAATGGGCCTCATGTAACAACATTTTTGTATTCTTTTCCTAACTTTCTCTTACTTTTTCTCCTACCATGGGGTCTTACAAAGGCCCTGAGTTAGATTCAACAAAATCCTTAACTCAGTAAATGATCCTCGCAAACTTGATACAGTTCATTTCTGCATAAGTGAGCATGTTCATGAGAAATGCAAATCTGCATAATCACTGTCCTGATAATTTAATATAAGGCTATGACTTACAGCGCTTGTCAGATGGTGCTCATTCACTGAAATGTAGAATAGAGCTACAAGTACCATGGAATACCACAGGCAAATATCTACCGTGAAGAGGCTACAAGGAAAGCTGCAACAGCCAAATGCCTGAAACGAGAAAGGCAAGTTCTGAGAAGTCAGCTCAATGGTAAGAATGAGGTCCAGGCAATCAACAACAATGCCTTGACAGTAATCAGATACTCTGCAGGGATAATAAGTTGGCCTGAGGAGGACATTTAGGCCACTGCATGGTGGATTTCACCTCAAATCTAGGATTCACAGACTATACACTAAGCGCCACCGTTGAAGATGAAACATCCAAGCTCCAAGAAGTTCTAGGGACAGATCAGATACTGCTAAGAACCCTCAAGCTCTCAGTTCTCCGGTGAAGGACTTGAGCTTGAGATGAAGGAACCACTCACCCTGCCCAGGAGTGAAAGGGGTAGGTGAGACAGCTGTTTTTGTAGTTAATATTATAATTTTTTTGAATATTAATATATGAGTATATATTAGCAATGCATGCATATAAGCAATTTTAGATTTTATAAATTATTTTATACATTTTGTACAATGTTATACATTAAATTCAATACCTGGCTATACAGATTGATTTATATAATTTAAACATTATGATTAAACATTAGATGCCCTTGAAACAGGAGAACACAAAAAGACACAAAGTAATTAGCAATGTAGACTTTATCACAGCTGCACAGAACAACTCATTTTATGCAGGGATTGTCATGATGTCTGGCACTAGTGCTGGTTTAATTCATCATTCAACACACCTGTCAGCTTCAGCCCATTGCCTATCAGCCTCCATCATAGTCACCTGCTCACAATATAACCAGCTTTCTGTACAGTCACTAGTGCCAGATTATTATGAGCCTTCAGTGAAATCTCTGACCCCGTTCTTGTATTCCCTTCTGGATTGTCTCTGAATCTAGGATCACCTGGCTCTGACCCTGGATCAACTCTCAGATTCTGTACAGTGTTTTTTTCCCTTTCACCAATCTGCCTGTCTCTTCTCTCATGGAGAGACCCCTTAATAGGGTTGGGAATTGAAAAGATTTTCACGATTCCGATTCCCTTTTCGATTCTATTAAACGATTCGATTCTTTATCGATTCTTTTTTCGATTCCAATTTGGGGGAAAAAGGAGAACAAACAGTTTGATTATCAGAATCAACTTTGTTTACTTAACTATTGCACAATCTTACAAACTCAACAAGATCAAGATGTCCACAGGAAATGTGAAACTGGAGTAACATCTGTGTTTAAATGAAAAATGAATACAAGAACAAACTTAATAACCAACAATGTCTAATAACAAATGATGGGATAATAACCTATTTTAAATAACAAAAAATACTAATTATAAAAAATTAGTAGGGAAAATTAACAGTTCTTTTGCAGAAAGATGAGCATATCTGCTTTTTCTGGAAGGATACAGGATCTTTCAGGGCTTATGGTGTCTCCAGCCGTGGAGAACACCCTCTCAGATGGGGTGGAGGAAGCCTGCACACAGAGGTAGTTTTCAGCCAGTCCAGATAGCAAGGGCAGCGTATCTTGCTTGTTCCACCACCACAGTGTGGCGCTATCCCTGCAGGGGATGGAGGGCAAGCTTTTATAGAGCTGGATTTCCTG